TTAGCAGCGCTGGGAGCAAGCCAGCTATTGCTGGAAAAACTTGCTCAAAGGCTTCACACAAAATCAGCAGTTTTATACAATTTTTCAGGTGTGATTAAATGCATATTCAAGTGATTACAGCATCTATTCATACATATTGATAACAGGCGGAGTATAGGTGGAGCTCAGGCGGAGCTTGGGGCGGCGCTTCTCTCTATCCCCAATTCTAGGGGGAGATCCCATCTTCATCCCATGGGGAGGGGGCTTATTCTCATCTTCCTCAGTCTGACCTTTCTTCCTTTCCATTGTTCTTGACCCGCTCGCTCAAGCTTGGAGAAAGCCCTGGCTCCCGGCCTATTTCTCCTATTCAAATGTCTACTTTAGCTTACTGTGTCCTAATTTATTGCCTCTAGGTCCATTACATGTACCTTTAGCACTCTGTTAAGCTTTGGTCCAGTTAGCAGAACAGAACAGATCGTTTTGAATGTAAGTAACTTGTTAGTTGGCCCAAGTTTCTTAGTTAACTCTTTTGGGCTTACCCTCCTGTTTCAGTCCCCCCTTTTACTTATAACTTACGAATTCCTTCGTCAAGTTCCAACGGGTTTTGATAGGTATGCATCACTGCCCACACTATCTGTATCCTTCTAAGTGCAGTACTTACTTTGTACCATAGCCAAACATTGAAGATTATCAGCAGTATCATGCTGGCTACAACAACTATTACTGGATGTATTAAGTAGTGAAACACCTGTGATGCTGTAGGGGAGTATCCTATAAAGATGTCCCACCAGTAGTGTTCTCCCACCTTTTCCACTTTGGTTAAAACAGTTTTTATGTTTTCTGTGTCATGTTCCACTTGCCAGAGCATTCGCCGAGTTGTTCTGTTTACTTCCTGGACCAGTTTTTCTATGTCAGGATGTCTAAGCATTGCTTTGAAAAGACTAATGTTCATTCCTATCTGTAATTTTGGCACGTCATGATAAATCATATAATCACCTTCAATCAATTGTCTAGTTGTCACTGGAACAATATAATCAAAGTCACAGCCTGTGATTCGAGTAAAATTACATACGCAAAAATTAATACCATTTGCAACTTCATGACAAGCATCTACGGTAAAATTAGCACAAAAGGTCCTAACACATGCACACCCATTTCCTACGTAATAGACTTGTGATTGGACTTTAGCATGGGGAAGCATCTCAAAGGTACACACACTATTCTCAGTATCTAAGCATAAATCTTCATTTTCTACTACAGCATTTTCACAGATATATCCTAATTGTCCCCTAGGAGTACAAGCCTCGGTACTAACTGACTGCCACTTTTTCTTGGTGTGATCATAACTTGCCCAAACATTATGGTCAATGGGTCTGACAATTACGTTTTGGTGTATGGCTCCTAATGTCAAAATAGGAAAGATGGTTTTTTCTTTGGCGGCACTGATAGTGAGTACATAAGCTTCAATTTGTTCATGTTGAGGATTGTAAGTGAAATTCACTAACTGCCACCATGCTTTGTAATTTTTCTCAAATTGTGTAGTGGAACTGTTTCTGGCTATTATTTCTCTTACCTCTTGTGGTAGTATTCCTGAGGTTCCTTCCCTTAGTATTCCTGCAGCTACAGATTGTACCCACTGTTGAGTTTGGAGACATTGTATTGCAAGTGCAAACCTTTTATGGATGACACCAGCATAGTCAATAATCTTAATGAAATCCATTGCAGTATGGTAAGCTACTAAGGTTAACAACTTAACTGCCAATGATTGTGTTTCTGCCAAAGTGAGCAAAGATGATCTTAAAGGGACTTTGAGTTTTCCTAGATCAGATGTGACAGCACTTAGTTTATTCACTAACACCTCTTGATCTATGGTGTTTGGTACACCTAATCCTGTGCCAAACCATCCGGTTGCATCTCTTTGAATTCTGGTACGAGGGGATCTGACCATCATCCATGCATGCCAGCCTTTAAGGCTTTGTTGAATATAGGGCTGACAATCTTTTTGTATGTTTGATATGTTTACTTGAAGGTTTATTCGGACCCTTTTCAGTGAATATGTGGGATCTAACAACAGCTTTTGCTCATTTGAGTGTCTAATTACGTACGGTCCAGCAAAAGTTAAATTGTGGACATTCCCACAGGTCGGAGGAGTGGTCGGGGTGGTGGTAGTGGCTTTAGTCAATGGTGTGGTAGGAGGTTTAGTAGTTGGGATACTTGATGAAGCCTTAATTATAAACCTCCTGATTATATTTACTTTCTTAGTTGTCAATTGACATATCCCAGAAACTGTTTTATTTAGAGTGAAGGTGTGCCAACATTCATCAGAATTGCATTCATGTTTACTGAGTACATTTCCGAAGTTATACAGGTAGGTGAGTCTTATTTGCAGATTATCCCGTATGGAAATGTTGGTTTTGGGTGACCACTCAATCAATGAGGTTGGTTTATACATTTTACATCCAATTCGAGTTTGATCTCCAACTTTTCCTATTAGGACACTTGCATTATATGGGTTACCAGGACGTTCCCAATTATTTAGCACTCTTGCTCCTTGGAGGATTATGATAGATGGATTGTATTCATCCATTTCAGATGGAGTCGTATTGACCAAGTTTAGTACACCAATTTGCAAACCAGAACTCTCATTGTAGGCCTGTAACCATAATGGATTTTGGGCATGAGTTTGACCTAACACCAATGTACTTATCAGTCCAAAGATCAGCATTGAGGAGGTTTGATAGTAGATGATTCTTCTCCCGAGGTCCATGCTTTTTCCGGAACCCTCTTGACTTGAGAGTAGTGGATCCACGTAGGTTTCTCTTTCACCCGGATCGCTGTGAAGGTGGTCATCAGCACCTGGTAGGGTCCATCCCATTTCTCCCGTAGTGGATCTCCTGAAAGATTCTTAACATATACCCGATCACCAGGGTTGAATGGATGTAACTTACAATCAGGCTGTTTAGGTTGGTGTTCTAACACCACTGTAGCATTTTTCTGCAATTGTTTTCCTACAACCATAACATAATCATACACATACTGACTACCAATTTGATCTACAGCTTCACTATTCACAGTTTGCATCATGTAGGGTCTGCCAAATAGAATTTCAAATGGGCTCAGTTTCTCTTTTGACCTTGGCTTGACCCTTAGCCTAATTAAAGCAATAGGTAAAGCTTGGTACCAGTAAAGATTTGTTTCCTGACATATTTTAGCAATTTGTTGTTTAATGAGATGATTCATTTTTTCTACTTGCCCACTTACTTGGGGTCTGTAGGGCGTATGAAATTGCCAATCAATTTTCAATGCTTTACTTATTGCTTGTACCACTTCTGCACAAAAGTGTGAACCTCTATCTGAAGAGATACTCTTAGGTACTCCAAATCGTGGTATAATCTCATTTAGCAAGACTTTAACCACTTCTCTTGACTTATTTGTTCTACATGGGAACGCCTCTGGCCAACCAGAAAATGTGTCAGTCAAAACTAGTAAATAACGATACCCCCTTTTTCTTGGAAGTTCAGAGAAATCAATTTGCCAAATCTCACCTGGAAAGCATCTTCTTTTTATTGCTTCTGGGTTAATTTTAAGTTTGGTATTTGGATTGTTTTTCAGGCAAAGTTCACATTGGGATGTGACTCATTTTATTGTGGTAAACAAATTTGGTCCAACTACCCTAGCTTTTAAGTGTTGATAGAGTGGATCCAAACCCCAGTGAGTTTTATCATGTTCTGTTTTCACAAATTGCCATATTAATTTTTCTGGTAATACCAATTGACCTGTCTTCAATTGACCCCATCCATTGTCTAACAGCTTACTGTAGGGAACATGTCCCGAGGTGCAACAGGTAGGCACCGAAGCTAGGGGACATGCGCAGAGCCAGACCCTCCTATTGGTTAAGAGTCACGTGGGATCAAGGTATAAAGGACCGCGCGCTGTTTGAATAAAGCTCTTTGTTTACCACCTCACAGAGAGCGTGCCATGATTTCTTTATTATATAAAGACAGCGTCCACGTGGACGCTACATATGGCGAGCCAGGCAGGAGCCGAATCTACATTAGATCAGATATTTTAAAACCTGTAGCAGGTTCTATCGGTAGGATCTCCGGTTATCACTTTAGTTTTATAAAGTGGGAGTCCTTTTACCGAAAAAAACATAGACGTCTGTAAACGTTGCCTTGGGGGAGTCCAAGGAACGAAGTTTAGTGAGCTCAAAAAAGATAGGTTAGTGCACAAGAAACAGGAAGAAAGAAGAAAAAGAAACCTAACGGCAGGCAGCGGACACCAGAGTCGGGGACCAGCAGACGGGAGCGGACAGCGAAAACAGCGAAGCTGAGTGAGTTATTAGCTTGCAGCCCCCAGCCCCCGCCAAAGGGGGCTTGGAGCTGCGGTGCTTTATCTCGCGAGCTGCTTCTGGGAACTCTACGGCTAAAAGCAGTGGAGACCCAGGCAGTAGCAGCTGAGCCGCCCCGCGCCGCCACCCCGGAGCCCCGGGGACCCCAGGACCACGTCTGCCACCCCGCCGCCCCACCCCTCTCCCCCGCGCGCGTCTCTCAAGACTGCCGCCAGCTGCGGGACCGGCGCCTGGTGCCTGCCGACCCGGCAAAAAGCCCCAGGTGCAGCTGCCGGGGAAGCAACAGCACCACGCACGTGCGCTGGCCGCCCTGCCTGCCACCGCAGGGACCTATAACGGTCACGCCGGGTCTGCCCGGCGAACTGAGCCAGCGCCGCCTCACCACCGCCCACGCCGCCCGCCGCCCCTGCAAGCGTTCGCTGCCCCCTTCCCCGCCCCCCGCCCACAAGCCGCGCGGGACAGGGGAAGGCACACCGAACGCCCGCAGCCCCCGGACCCACCTCGCCTAGCGAGCCCCCGCCACCACTTTCTGCCGACCCACGCATGCATGTACCCACTGCGTGAAGCCTCAGCGTAGAGGAAAAACCCCCCTGCGGCGCCTAGCGAACCGCGGGACACCCGGAGCCGCTCCCCACCGACCCCCGGCCGTCTGTAAGGACTGAGCCGACCCTTAAAATCGAGAAAAATCGCCGAAAGCCACCGCGAACCCACAGAGAACCTGTTGCCGCTTTTGCCGCCGCTTCCCCGCCGCCGCCGCCGCGCCGAGCCGCCACAGCCGCCGCGCCAGCCGCCGCGGAGAGCAGAAGGACCCCGCGCCGCCGCGCCGCCGCTGCGCCGAAAGGACCGCCGCCGCCGGAGCCGAGCCCGGAGCCTGCCCGAGCCGCGAGAGGACCCCATGCCAGCCGCCGCCGCCAGCAGCCCCGCGCCGCGAGACGACCCCGCGCCAGCCGCGTGCCACCGCTGTTTGCAGCCACTGCCGCTGAGCCGGGAAACCAGCCGACCAGAACCGGGAGTAGCCAGCCACTAACTACACAAAGAACTTCTGCCCGCGCGCATCCAAACCATCGCGAAAAGGTAAACTGAAGAACTTTTTCCTCGCCGCAACTTCAAAAAACACAGATTCACCACACACAGCCCACGAAAGCACAACACAAAAACATAACACCCATAAGCACCCCCCCAATAATACTACTCGCAGTAGCCGCCCCACTTTTAGGCGTAGGGACACAAACGCCCAAAGTCTGGCGGGGGGGGGAATGGGAGATGTTCGTGAATTGAGCACTGAGTCAGAAGCCCAGGGCCAAAGGCACACGGGCCGTTGGGAGGGGACGGAGCCTGAGATGCGAGATCCCCACTCATGGGACCATCGCAGAGGGCTCCGTCACGGTGACCGGGGGGGCAAGCCAGCAGAATCGCCTCCCCGTCCCGCGAATGACTGCCGGCCACGTGTAACCTCATGGGCGTCGCCATCTTGCCCATTAAAATGCCCGGGTACTGAACTGTCTCTTCCGGTCCCTGAGCCGCCCCGCCCCACCCATAGGCGCGAGGGGGGAGGCAGCCCCGCCCCCTCGCCGCCTCCGACACCCGCCCACACCCCCCCACCGGCAACCGAGGCTACCGCAGCCACGGGGAGGGGGGGAAGGGGGGAGGAGGAGGAGGGATTCTCAGTAGTTCCGTCGGGAAGAAGCAGGGAGGCAAACAGGGTAAAGTCGGATAACAGGTGGGAAAACAGGGGTAAGGCGGTTCGACTGGGTGGCCTGAAGGATAATCAGGCATGCTCAAATGAATTTAGCCAAAGCCACGCCCCTCAGCCTGAGCTTCTACACGGAGCTATTCAGAGGCTGAGGCATTTGGTAAGAGATAGTGGCATATCCCTAAATGATGCCTGCGGGTATCTGAGGGCATCGAATTCCATCCATTTTTCCACCTCACATGACACAGAACATGTGCACTGCTTATCTGACTTTCGGGAGAATAGTGCCAATAACACACCAAACACCCCAACTGGTATAACAGTAAATCCATTGACTGGAGAAGGGAGACACAGCACAGCAGGTGCCCAATTGAATCACTCCCGAGAAAAATACAAAGTAACAATCAAACAGGCGCTGAGAGCCATGAGAAGGCTTCTCACCACAGACAAAAACGGCAACCTGCCCAGCACAAGAGTGTTACAAAGTTGTACTGATCCAAACTCACAACATTTAAATCGACTGCGGACTGCTTTGCACAGGCAAATTGAATACAATGAGGCCAGAGAGATGCTGTATAAGCAGTTGGCTTCTGATAAGGTGAGCACAAGCTGTGAAAAGGCTTTGCAAACCCTCTCTGGAGGGGTTGAACACAGCACCGCTGAGCTGGTTCAACCTTACCGAGGATTTAGCTCTGAGGAGCACCAATCTGCCTCTCTAGCTGTGGCCCTAGAAGCCCAGCTAGGAATACAAAAAGAGGCCAGACTTAGAGCAAGTGGTGTCAGATGCAGTAGCACTGACCGCTCTCAAGGAGATTATATCTGGAGACCCCTTTGCAGCAATGCCCCAAAGTATTCCAATGGCAAGGAACGGGCTGAGTTACACCCAGGGTGCCGAGGGCGAAACAAGTGCGTTGCTGCCAGCATCGTCCTGCTTGTTGCCGTCCTGCTTGCTGCCTTCTGTGCCACAGGCTTTCATGTGCCAGAGAGGAAGCAGCTCGAAGCAAGCCCCAAAGTGACAACAAACAGCCTAGACAATGCCCTTATATACTGCACACCCAAGAAAGGTGACAGATGGAGAATGCTGCCAGACACTAGAGCAGTAAGCGCAGTCATAAAGCATGTAGGAGCACAGCAGCATGGACTGCCTTTACCCGATGTGCTCCCAACGAGTTGGCCGCTATTGGTAACTGATTTAAAGACTTGTTCCTCTACCACCTTCCTACACCCTGAGAACGTTCCAAGGCTTGCCTGTCCCATCATGGCCTTGTGCACGGCCTATGCAAATATATTGCTGGGCTGTCTGTCCTCAGGGGATGCAAATAGCCAAGCAAGATATCGGACAACCACGATACACCCTCATACAGGTAGCATACCAATGAGCATGGCCACAGAAAATGAACTGCCTTTTACTCTTACTGCTCTAATCCAAAATGTCCAAGATGTAGGGTTACAGCTTGCAGCAGAGAAAATGCAGCAACCGTTACCCTGGACTTTCCTTGGACAAGAATTCACGCAGCAAAAAGATTCTCCACAACTGCTGCAGCTCAAGGTAAAAAACACTTTATATTTACACGAGTTGCAAAAGCTTTAAGGGGCAACAAACCGGTTAAGGCCTATTTTAGGCATAACCACAGAGGAGCTACACCCTCTACTTCAGCTGCCAAAGGGAGACTCCAGTCCAATGTCTAACAGGCTACTGATACCGGAAGCCAAAAGAGTGTTAGACATTTGTACCAAGGCAATAGAGAGAGGGATAGGCAGAGGGAGAAATCCTGAACTACAGATCTGCCTAACCCTCATTCCCAGCAGGTATCAACTATTAGCAGCCTTGTTACCGTGGGATCAGACTGAAAAAGACCCACTGCAACTTCTAAAGTGGCTAATTTTGCCCCATGTGCCATCTAACACTGTGTGGACTGTTAATGAGATGTATGCAAAGCTTGTCATTCAAGGCAGAGAAAGACTGCAGAACTGGAAGGAGGGGACCCTGCCTTTACCACCATCGACTTGCCAGCTACGAAGGACAATTTGGATAGGATGCCAGCTGAGGACGCAAGGTTCCGAGCTGCCTTAGCAAGCTTTCATGGTAAAACTCTAATGCATCTCTCAAAACACAGGTTGTGGGCAAAGATTACTAATCTACCTTCCAAAGCCACGACCAGATGCAAACACGGACCAGTGAAAGGCTTCAGGGCCTTCACACCTGCATCTGGAAACAGCATAAAAGGCTGTAATAACTCAGGTAAAATCCTGCTACAAAACAAGGGAAGGACAGACGCAGACCACGAACCACAGCTGTGCAGGTTCTGGAAATGACCTCGTCTGTATTGTCTTGGGAACGGTTATTAACTGATCTTTGAATGTTATAACTGATTTCTGTTATGTTGCAAGTTGATGCCCCACCTTGAAGGTTTGTTTGTTTGAGATGTCCTAGTATTTACTTGTTAATTGAAATGCGTTCTGTTTGGTTTCTTGTGAATTACAGAAGGTTTGGATTTTCATACACATGCATACAAAGTAACACAATGACAGGTAAGGGCCAACAACTGATAAAGAACTAAGTGACTGGCAAAATAACAACATTTAACATCAAATCTAAGGTCTTGAAGCAAGCAAAATTGTCTAGTTCATTTTTCCATCAGAACGCAAGATCCTTAAACAGACAATTCAAATAACATTCAATCAGCTCAAGACTCCATCATGTCACGCCCAAACTGTCAAAAAATCACAACAATGCCATCTCAGAATGCATTAACCCCACATGGTTAATTGCAAATGAGATTCAGCAAACAGATATCACACACATCTCTGAAATGGACATATTATAATATGTACATGTAACAGTAGGTATATACCAGCACCACGTAACCTACACAACACCCACTGCAGAAAAGGCCAAAAGTGTGAGACACTTTGGCTTAGTTGCCCAGCAACTCTTGGTCCATAATATTCACAGTAAAGCAGCTATATCTCCTATCAAATAGGAAAATTCTCATGTCACAAGTGTTCCACACTCACTCATTACACAGGTAATTACACAAAGAGCACACAACACAACAAAACAGTGCCAACTAAACAAAAAAGGGGGGAGAGAATCTGTATAACTAAAAGAATATCTGTGAAAAACCATGTATGTATTAATTTTCAAATTGTGACAAGCTGGAAACGTGAGTATGAAAGGTAATACAAACCCCAGGCTAGTGTACCTCTCCCAAAACATCGGTCATGGTAAAGGATTTGGTATCTGGGCAGTGGACGGAACCACTAAATCTGATTTGGGATAGAGGCTACGCTGGTGAATCTGAAGAAAAGAGTTAAAATGAACCCCTTCCAGGTCTGTTGCACCCCACAAGGTACAAAATCACATCAGCAAGAACCAGAATGACGCAGAAGTTATAAGAAGGTTATGTTTATGTTTAAGGTTTACTTTAAGGACGACCAGTGTGGCAAAAAACAGTTTATAAAAACCCATGAATGTGTGTGTATGATGCGTGAGATGATGGCCATCAAAGCGAATGAAAGTATGAATGAACATGAGTGTTGTATGTCTGGACAAATATTGGAACACTAAAACACCTCACAAATAACAATACCTCCGCCACAGGGTCATTTAAGAGAATTTAGTTTTGCTAAGCTTAGCCTGTTTCTTAATAAAGTTGTACTCCCCAGTTATTTAAAACCCTCAGGTTAATAAAGTTTATAAGTTTGCACGGTTAGGCCAAGGCCTATAGATTAATAAAGTTATTTCTCCAAGTTGCACTACCCTATAGGAATATAAGAAAGTTTTAAAAGGTTCACAATAGGACTATAAGAGGCCAAGGCAAGCAGTATGCTGGTTCATTGCAAGCCTTGGTAGTTTATTAATGTACTGTTCTGATTGTTTGCGCTGTTGCCTTTGTAATGTTCTCGTGACCTTCTTATACAATTAGGAAGGGGGAGATGTAGGGAACATGTCCCGAGGTGCAACAGGTAGGCACCGAAGCTAGGGGACATGCGCAGAGCCAGACCCTCCTATTGGTTAAGAGTCACGTGGGATCAAGGTATAAAGGACCGCGCGCTGTTTGAATAAAGCTCTTTGTTTACCACCTCACAGAGAGCGTGCCATGATTTCTTTATTATATAAAGACAGCGTCCACGTGGACGCTACAGCTTACCTCCATTTTTGTGTATCCACTGATAATCTGTTTCCTGATACTCTACCTGTTGATTTGTGTCCAATCCTTCTGGTACTAAAGCTGCTACTGGTTGTTCCATACCTCTTGCAGCTGCTAATTTGGCTTCTGCATCAGCTTTTCTGTTTCCTATTTCTGGAATGGTGTTGCCTTTCAGGTGTCCCCTGCAATGCATTATAGCCACCTGTAATGGGAGTTGGACGATTTCTAACAATCGCAGGATCTCCTCTGCATGTTTAACAGCTTTTCCTTGAGTGGTCAATAGTCCTCTTTCCTTCCAGATCGCTCCATGGGCATGTACAACAGCAAAGGCATATTTAGAGTCAGTCCAGATGTTGATTTGCTTTCCCTTTGCCAGTTCAAGAGCTCGGGTAAGAGCTATCAGTTCTGCTTTCTGAGCTGAAGTTCCTACAGGTAAAGGGTTGGATTCAATTACCTGTTCTGTTGTGGTCACTGCATAGCCAGCCATCCTTGTACCTTGTTTCAGGAAACTGCTGCCATCCGAGAACCAGTCGTCTACATCCTGAAGTGGTTCTTCTTTGAGGTCTGGGTGACTGGAGTACACTGCTTCAATGGTCTCCAAGCAGTTGTGTACAACAGGTTCTGCTGAGGTTTTTCCTTCTAGGAATGAAGCTGGGTTGACAATGTTAGTCACTTGAATGGTTACATCATCAGGTTCAGCTAGGATTGCCTGGTATTTCAGGAACCGGGAAGGTGACAGCCAGTGGTTCCTTTTTTGTTCTAGCACTGCAGATACAGTATGGGATACCAACACAGTCATTTTCTATCCCATAGTAAGCTTTCTGGCTTCTTCTATGTTTACAACCACTGCTGCGACAGCCCTTAGGCAAGTAGGCCATCCTTTGCTTACCTCATCCAGTTGCTTGGAGAAGTAGGCCACTGCTCTTTTGTGCGGCCCCAGTTGTTGAGCCAGGACCCCTAAAGCCATTCCTTGACGCTCGTGCGAGAACAGCCAGAAGGGCTTCGTCACATCAGGTAAACCCAACGCCGGAGCCCTCATGAGTTCTCGCTTCAGTCTTTTGAAGGCTTTGTCTGCCTCGGGGGTCCAAGTTATCTTAATTCACTCTTAGCAGATCATACAGAGGCTTTGCAATTATCCCATACTGATATATCCAGAAGCGGCACCAACCTGTCATTCCTAGGAAGGCTCGGAGGCTTCTCACCGTTTCTGGTCTGGGTGTCTGGCAGATGGTTTCTTTCCTTGCCGTCCCCAGGGATCGTTGTCCTCCTGATACTTCATATCCCAGGTACACGACTTTCTCCTGGACCAGCTGAGCTTTCTGTTGATAGACTCGATAACCACTTAAACCCAAAAAGTTTAAGAGAGATATTGTCCATTGAATGCAGTCCTCTTTTGTTTCTGTTGCTATTAGGAGATCATCTACATATTTGTCTCAGTCTGAAAAGACTGGAAGGTTTGCTAAAGAGGATGAGTTATGGGACAAAACAAACTCCTCTCTCTCAGTAATTGTGGATTAAAAAATTACAGGGCTTTACTCAAGGAAGTGTGGAAAACAGAAGAGATAACAACTCTTTATTAAAAGATATATGTATGTTAGCAAAAAAAAAAGTTTAAAAAAACAGTAACAGAACACAAAAAAACTATACAGTGGTTCTAGAAAAAGCAAAGTCTGGTAAATACTTATCTCTCCTATTAGCGCAGTCCTAATCGTGGCCTGCAGGGGCGCTGTTGGATCGCAGAGGCGCAGAGCCTGCAGTTCGCTGTTGTGGTCGGTAGGGGGCGCTGTTGGGTCACTGAAGGTGCAGGGCCTGCAGTTCGCTGTTGTGGTCGGCAGGGGGCGCTGCTGGGCTCCGGCGGCCACTACGGGGGGAGAGGGGCCTGGGGCCGGTCTCAGATCACGGGAGGAGCCGAAGGGAAGATGGGGGACCCCCACCCCTCAATGGAGGGAAAAGAGTAGGAAGGCAGTTCACCCCCAACAGGACTCACTGTGGTTCCCAGGTGGTAGAGTCCCAAAAAGCTCCTCTTTCCTCCTAGCGAGCACAGAGACTCTCCAATGAAACACAGCAGATCCGGGCTGGGGCCAAGAGACAGCTCCCCGGCCAAACTGAAATCAGCAGTCCCGTCTGACTAGGGCGGGCAGTCAGACAAACAGGCTTCCAGGCCTTCTCTCCAAATGCTCCACACAGATCCTGTCTCCGTCCTCCAGAGAGAGAGAGCCCAGCAAAAACTGCCTCTCTCCCGTCAGAGCAGAGCCAGCCTTCCAATGGGCCATTAGCTAGGAATGTAGCCAGGTTGACTAAAGCTTTTGTAAAACTAATGGCCTCCCCTTCCCCCTTTCCTGTTTGAGCTCCGTTTCTCTCACAGGGAAGCAGGGAAAGAAAAATTCCTCTCTCAGATTATAACCTATAACAATATTGCAGAAGAACGCCCTCTCCCGGTGACTGTTGCCATAGTTCTAGCTCTCTGGCTAACTCGTTACCAAAAATTGTGGGACTGTTTTTAAAGCCTTGAGGCAAGACCGTCCATGTAATTTGCATTTTTCTCCCCCTGTTAACAGACTCCCATTCAAAGGCAAAAATCTTTTGGCTTTCCTGTGCTAGGGGTAGACAGAAAAAGGCATCTTTTAAATCCAACACTGTAAACCAGATCAAATTGTCTCTTAATTTATTCAGAAGTGTATAAGGATTTGCTACAACAGGATGTATAGTTTTGGTTATTTTATTTACTGCTCTTAAATCTTGTACTAACCTGTAGGTCCCATTTGGTTTCTTCACTGGAAGGATTGGAGTGTTAAAATCTGATTCACACTCTATCAACAGCCCTAATTTCAGAAAGTTTTCAATTATTGGTTCAATCCCTTTTTTATCTTCTAGCCTCAGTGGATATTGTTTCTTAGCCACTGGCTTGGCTCCTGGTTGTAATTCTATTTGAATAGGGGTTGCCCATTTTGACTTACCTGGTATGTCAGTAGCCCACACCAGGGGGTACACCTGATTTGTAATTTGGTCATTATTCAGATTGTTTGGTTTTGGTTCTATGCAGCTCACAGCCAAACTCAGAGCTGCCAATAATTGTTCCTCCTTTACTTTGAATTCAATTTTACCTTGTTTAAATTCTATTACAGCTCCCAGATTTTCTAATAGATCTCTGCCCAATAAAGGTTTGGGTGAACTTGGCAAATGCAAAAACTGATGCAATCCCATTTGTTTCCCAATTTTAAACTTTAAGGGTTTTAAAAAGAAAGCTTTTTCTGATTGACCAGTGGCACCAATAACCTGTACATAATTATCAGTTTTAGGTATCAATTCCTGATTTAAAACAGAAAATGTTGCTCCAGTGTCAATCAAAAAATCCAGTTTTTCTTCTTCTTCCCCTAGCCGAATTGTAACCAGCGGGTCTGCCAGGGAAAAACCAGCCGGTCCCCGTCAATCACTATCTTGGTGGGCTATGACAGCCCCCCCCGAATTCCTGTTTGCCCGAGTAGGACACTCCCTTTTCCAGTGTCCCTCCTGCTTACAATAAGCACACTGATTTTGACTATCTCTGTTTGCTTGAAGGGTAAACCTCCCCTTCCCCGTGTTGCCAGTCCACGGCCACGACCCCTGTAATACTGCCCTGCTGTTACTGGGTTCCGTGTTAGAACTGCAATCATTGCCCTTGTAAGCCTTCTATCTTCCCTCTTTTCCCTGTTGTTATACACTTTCCAGGCTTCATTCATTAATACCTCTAAATCTTTATTAGCAGGGTGGTCTATTTTCTGCAATCTTTTTCTGATGTCAGGATTACATTGTCCCATTAATAACCCCACCAAATGTAGTTTACCTTCTTCTGATGATGGATCTAAGGTAGTATATTTTCTCATGGCAGCCCTCAGTCTATCCAAGAACTCTGTGGGGGTTTCATTTCGTCCCTGCCTTACATCATACAAGGCTGCCCAGTTCACTGCTTTAGGGATAGCATTTTGTAATCCCACCTTAATCAGATCTCTATATTTCATCAGCATTCTATAATGGTCTGGATTGTTTGGATCCCAATTAGGTTGTTGCAACGGAAAAATCTGATCTACATCCCCTGTTAAAACTCCCGTGGCAATCTGGCTTACTACTTCTTGTCTAGTTGTTTTTATTACAAGTTCCTTTTCAGTTTCTGTCAACTCTGATAACATCAAATCAATATTGGTCCAATCTATTTCTTGATTCTTTGCAATTAATTCAAATCTCTTAGCCACTTTCTCAGGATTTTCCCTAAAGCACTTAGCTTCCTCTCTCCAACTGTTCAAATCACTAGCCGAAAAGGGTACTTTCACTTTTGCCTGCGTGCCTGTAGGTGTTATTACCTGATGCAGGGGCACCAGCATGTGACCTGCCCCTGCTGTTTGAGCTCTTGTCTTGATTCCACTCCTTCTCCTACCACTCTGTGTCAAAGTTTGACCATGATGTGTGCTACTTATCCCTTCCTCGGGGTCTTCCATACCCCCAGCTATACTCCCAGAATCATCTAATCCTAATCCCGATTCCTGTGGGCTGCCTGGTCCTTGCCTAGGTGGTTCCAGTCCTCTAAAATGTGCCGACTGCAATTCCTGAGGGTCCAGGATACTATCTTCATCACTCCCTTTCCTTCCCAGCTTAAGACACCTCTCACCAATGCTACAGGCATCGCAACAATGCTTTCTCGGCTTACTATTTTTCTGATCTTTTTCCAATGCTAGTACAAGGGGGTCCTGAGGTGCTACATTAATTCCACAGCTTTTCTGCCACTCTGGTTTGTTTCTTAAAGTAAAAAACATATCTGCATACGCGATTTCATCCCATTTCTGCTCTCTGCGGAGGAATAACATAAGCTGCAAAATAGTATTATAGTTTAGACTTCCCTGTGGAGGCCATTTTTCACCATCACCTAAAATATATAAAGGCCACCAATTCTGACAATATTTCAAAAAGGTCTTTTTACTCAGATTGCCCCCAGGGATTCCTCCCAAATCCTTCCAATGGCTCAATATACATCCTACAGGAGTTTTGGAATTTATCTCCTTACTTGCACTGGTTCCCATTATGAAGATATGGGATTGAATCTAAAATATGCTAACAACCACAGCTATTAGACTCCAAACAATATTCAACTGTCAGACCTTAATATTGCTTTTCAACAAAGATTTCCTAAAATCACCAGTTTCTAAAAATCACCAATCCTGTAACCAACTTGCAAAAATCCACAAGATACCACCCTTACAAATACACCTGGCTTCTACAACAAGCCTAGATGTCACCCTTACAAATACACCTGGTTTCTACAACAAGCCTATGTATCCACACAAATCTACAACATGCTGCTGTTAACCACCAGATGCACACTTAATAACAAATCTATATACTCAAAACACAAAATTCAAACCAGATGTAAAGACCCTGAGCATATTGAAAGAAACACTGGCCTATGAATCCTACAACAATAATATCGGATGCACCTAGTTTCCTCCAGAGTTTGGTTATTTCCACATCTAACACAATACAAATTTAAAGTCCAACCTAACCTTATCTCTTGGGAAGATCTGGGTCCTAAAATATACTTAAAACAGTTATTACATAAAGCACGCACATATAATGAACAATTGCAAAATGGACAGATCTTAATTCTAGGTTTTAAGCTATGTGGTGTATTCACAGTCAATTTTTCAGACCCACTCCCCATACAAGTTTAACAAGATGTTTCTATGGTTGGTTTAGGGTGGACAGACACTTCAGGAATTCGGTATTGCCTCCAACACAAAGCAAGAAAACACAAAATTAGCAAAGCAATATAACACGAACACACTGCTATGACAAGTGCTATTTTCCAAGAGTACATAATAGTCGACTTAAAACACAGACTAAAGAGCAATCAAAGGAAACTTAGGTGCTTTGTTCTTTCCCCGATATAAACACTATTAGGCCAAATACAGACAAAACCAGAACATACCAGACCAGAGGGGATATTTCCCCAGGAAGAACATCCTCTCCCATGTCGCGTTATAGATGGCGTCCCATCTTTTGATTTATGGGTATCCAGAACCAGAATAACCAGAATCCAGAATAAACAAAACCAAAAAACCAAATATAAATACCTTTTATCAATAAGCAGTGTTCTTGTCCAGCCCCCGCAAGAAGCCACCGAAGAAGGGAGTCCCTTCGGGTAAAAAGACTTACCCAAGGGCGCCGAGGGGGTCCCGAGCTCCGAGGGATTCCGCGGCCAGGTGGAAAAGGTGTACTGCCGCGGTCGCCAAATGAATCCGAAAAATTGAGTATAAAGAACTGCTCAGAGAACTTTGATCTTTTGAGCAGCAAAGGTATTTATTAGCAGCGCTGGGAGCAAGCCAGCTATTGCTGGAAAAACTTGCTCAAAGGCTTCACACAAAATCAGCAGTTTTATACAATTTTTCAGGTGTGATTAAATGCATATTCAAGTGATTACAGCATCTATTCATACATATTGATAACAGGCGGAGTATAGGTGGAGCTCAGGCGGAGCTTGGGGCGGCGCTTCTCTCTATCCCCAATTCTAGGGGGAGATCCCATCTTCATCCCATGGGGAGGGGGCTTATTCTCATCTTCCTCAGTCTGACCTTTCTTCCTTTCCATTGTTCTTGACCCGCTCGCTCAAGCTTGGAGAAAGCCCTGGCTCCCGGCCTATTTCTCCTATTCAAATGTCTACTTTAGCTTACTGTGTCCTAATTTATTGCCTCTAGGCCCATTACATGTACCTTTAGCACTCTGTTAAGCTTTGGTCCAGTTAGCAGAACAGAACAGATCGTTTTGAATGTAAGTAACTTGTTAGTAGGCCCAAGTTTCTTAGTTAACTCTTTTGGGCTTACCCTCCTGTTTCACCATTACCTGATCTGTTACACTGATCATATTACCAATTATTTTTTTTCTGAGGTTGTCAAAGTGTTACCCACAATGAGATAAACAGGAATTTTTACTGCCACTTGGAAAAATTTCACTTCAGGGACAGGGAGCTTAGATGACCTTGTTGCAAATAGTCTGATAAATAATTAAAATTTGATTATATAGAAGAAGTAATTGTTGTAAAATAATCGAGATTTGATCATATGAAAGAAATAGTTTGTTTGATTAAAGGTAGAAAATTGTGAAGCACAATGTATAGAATTGTTAAGGAGTGTTGTGTTTAAGTATGTAACCGTGGATACCTCACCAAGAAATTACTGGACCATGTACGCTATGTATGATATGGTTTGGAGCTGGCTCCCTGCCAAGTCTCCAAACCTTACCACAAGAAGTTCCCCCCCCACCCCAAACCAAGGGAGAAGAGGGGAAAAAAACCAAAAGAACAGAAAACAAGAGAGAGACAAAGCAATATATATATATATATTTTTACACTTATATTACAGTTATGTACAGTTGAAATATATATACAATTTCACAGGGAAAGGGAAAGGGGAAGGGAAGAACAAAAACCAAAATAATATATATATATATATATCCCAATCAGTAGCCCAAGGTCTATCAACTAAAAGAATTAGCAAAGAATATCTTACTACTCTCCTTGGGACAACAGAGAGTCACGCTGGAGTGACTGCCGGCAGCCTCCGCCTCCCAAGGTCAACAAGGCCTTACCAGACCTTGCTCCCCAACCCGGCAGACTCAACAGCAGGGAAACATGCACCTCCAAAGCCACCGGAAGGAAAGAGACCGAAGGCCTTTCCTCCCTTCTTCTTATACCCTGGCTTACGTAAAAATCGTAGGGAATACCAGGTAAATCTGGGCACTTCCTTGGTTGCAAACTGGTCACCAAGGAAGGCCTAGACCAAACTACCACAGTTACCGGACCATATATGCTGCTTGGAAACCCCCTCATCCCTTCCCATCTTGATCTGCATATCAAGGATTCCAATCAGTAAAGCTAAGTAAAATTTACCGATGATTGCTTTTGGAATAAAGATTTATAGCCTATAGAACCAATAATTGTAAAGGTTAGATTTAAGAATGGATTTATGTAACAGAGAAGAAGTATAAAAATTAATAGAAGAATGGACTTATGTGACAGAAAGGTATAAAAATGAATGGATTTTGTTGCTAAAGTGGAACACACTTGGAGGAGCTATTCCCTGCCAAATAAAGAAGTGTCTCCTTATTCACATCAAATTGGTGTTAGATATGTTTCTTTTGTCCCATTTAGTGACAACCTGACACTGAGTGAGGTAGAACCCAAGCGTCCAGTCCATCCTTGAACCAGAAAGACAGTAATGTCTGCAAATCAAGCAACAACCTTCTGTATATTACGGTCCCATCCATGTGGGTTATAAGTGGTAAAAATAATGGTCTGCTTAAAGTAGGGCAAATGTTCAATTGGTCAGTACTCTCTAAGAGAAATTCCCCCTGTAGAAATGCAAGAACAGGAGCATTTCCTGAGACCACCAAGTGCCATTGCAACAATACAAAGAGACTCAGGACCCTCAGTAACTAACTGCTTCACCATCCTTTCATTCCTGGCACTGCGTATGGCCACTGTAGGCAGTTGTGTTCATTCTGAAACTGAGCTTGGAAACTGGTGTCTGCAGAGAGACTCAGGCAGTTCTTGACCACAAGAAAAGGACTCTCTCAGTGCATATCCCCAGTTGTCAGAGTGCACAGTCCTTATGAAAAAACATAGGAACACATCTATTGGAAGACAAAAAAAATTGAGAACAGAGCCTATAGATGGCTAGGTATAAAGACAACCTAGTATTGAATGAAGACCTGTGTCATATTCTTCTTTTCTGTAGATTTATTAATCAAAACCATTTTTAATATACTAAGTGCATTAATGTATATCTAGGGAAAGCAAAGTTTTGAAACATTTTTCCTAAATCCTGATGCCTAAATGAAATTAAACTGTGCTAACTTCCAAAGTTCTTTTTTGGAGGAGTAAGAAAATTGCTTTTACAAGGTCTCACTCTGCTCCAGCTCTCTCACAGCCAAAGTTGCAGGAGATGTAGGGATGCTAAGCAACTTGGGTTTGTGCCTCCCTGGCAACTGGAGCTGTATGGAGGCTGGGAGTCGGGTGAAAGCTGGGTGCTCAGCCCCTGGCCCCCACCTGCTGCAAGTCTCCCGCTTTTGTCAATTGCCTATCTGTGCACTGGAAATTAAATTGACAAGAACCTTCTGGGGGTGAGGAGAAAGGAAACAGACAGAGAAACCCATGGCCATCTCTCCAAAACAAACAAAGAATTAAAAAAAAAAAATAGGAAAAAAAGCCTCAAAAATGTCATTGACTTTGAGAATTTGAGAATTTCCACAGAAATTTCATTTGGATGAAGAGAGCATGTTCAACCAGAAAATCATTCCAATGGGCAAAGGAGGAAAGTGAATCATGCAGAACTCTCCCAGGCTCCTTTCAGGATAATGATCAGCATTTTCCGAGAGACACTTAGCATCTTCTAAGAATTTTGCCTTAATTTTGGTGTAACTTGGAGATAAGGCACACAGAGGGTAAGAGCTCCAAGGAAGAATAATTTTCACCTTTCTGGTGCTTACAGCATAATAAAAAACTTTCCTCCATACTTTTGAATTAATTTCTCAAAAGTTCCCATGCCTCCACCCATTTGTTTCCTCATTGTTTTTATTAAACAAGAAAGGTGAGCTTCATTACTGTGCAAATGAAAACATCACCAGAAGACAGGTACTTCTCAGATTCTTATTAATCTCTGAGACTTATGAGGCTGCCTAAATTCCACAGAATTAACATACTCTACAGATTTCTTCCAGCAAGTCACTGAGTCCTTGCTATGCTATCTGGAGAGTGAAGGGAAGCCAAAATAGCAAAACCAAAGCAGAATAAATCTATATTATTAGGTTGTTGCAAGTCAAAATGTGCATGTGCATGCGTGTCTTTGTCTACAGATATAGGGCAAGGCTCTGTGTTGTTGTGCATCATCTACAGCACCATTATAGTAATTTATCATAGACGGCAGTTGTATAGATTGAAGTGTGTGCCACAAAGTAGAGATTGTAATCATAATTGAAGTACAATTGGATATGCAAGTCAAAATAATTTGACTAATCTCCAAAATTAATACAGTAGGGCATTGAATTTTTTCTTTTCCCTACTTTCCAGTATAAGACTACCAATGCCTAACTGCAGACACACTTAATGCCTGTATTGTAGCAGCATTTAATATCTGTAGCAAAGATCAAGGTCCCAGAGCAGTAGCTATTTCTCATGAGACATTGATGCCTATTAGGAGCTAAGAAAAAAAACCTCCGGAGCAGTTAATTGAGGGTGAGATAAGAAAAGGGTTTAATTTGTGCCTAGGCATAAGATTACAGGACGCGTGCGCAGGCCGTGTTCAGGTGTTACAATTTATAATATCTGTCCAATCCCAAGTGTTTCCACCCCGTAGCCTTTGCTCTGGTCCACCCAGACCCACAAAAAGGGTCTTAAGGCATCAGGTCCCCCCTTAGAGACTGGACAAAACCCAAAGGTCTTGTCCAATCTCTACTACTTACACCTACAACAACTATAACATCGGTATATGCAGTGAGCTATTATACTAACACTAAGTATGTACATCACTAGAATAAACAGTTGTCTCATCCAAGTCCAATTCGGCAACCATGAAGTGAGTTTGTGGAGGACATCTCCTAAACCCAGGGAGACATCATCTGGAGATATTTGGTGCAGAATTTTGGTTTGGTTTCAAATTGCAGCCAAATCATTATTAATTCTACCAGTCTGGTCTATGTAAGAGCAGCAACTGGTGTTGATGACTTTACACACGCCTCCCTGTGAGGCTAGCAAGAAATTGAGGGCCATTCGGTGAGCTTCCAGGCCTCCTCGATCAGGATAACAGTTGCTGCGATGGCTCGCAGGCACCCCGGCAACCCTTGGCTAACACTGTCCAACTGTTTAGAGAAATAAGCCACAGCCCTTCGCTGGCTTCCCAGAGTTTGGGATGTGGCAGGAAGAATGTAACAAGGAATCATGGGAGTTGTAGTCTTCCGGGTTCTCACGCATGCTCAAACAA